CTGTAGACATCTCCCGAGAGCCCACCCGCCCAGCCCCACCAGCTTCTTGAACTCAAAGTTGCTCACAGTCGGACTCTGTCTCAGGGCACACCATGCCACTGGGCGAGGTGGGTGGTGCCCCCACTCCAGCCACCAGGGCCGGAGACCCTGACCCCCGCTCCCTGATGTCTTCCTCAGTGGCACAAGCCGACTTCCCCAGCCAGCCAGCCTTCCGGGCTCTGTTTTGAAGTCCGTGCTGGGAAAAGCCTCTAGAAGGGCGTGGTTGAGAGGCTGGTGTCAGGGTGCACTGCTGGTGAGCTCGACCTCTGTCTCAGGGGGATGCGGAACCCAAGCATGCGGATAAGTTGCAAGCTGAGGTGCCTGTCCTGACACCCACTGCTTCTGCCCGCCCCTCGGTTTCTGTCACTACAGCCTGTGAGCTGCCCCTTCCAGCCAGAGTCAGGAGAATGCACGTTGTTAAGTGTATTTGTCAGCTCGGGCTCACCACAGACTGGGGGATTTCAGCAGCAGGAATGTATGACCTCGCAGTTCCGGAGCCCGGAAGTCTGACACCGAGGTGTGGGCAGGGATGGGTCCTCCTGAGGCTTGTCCCCTTGCCACGTTCTCCCTGTGCTCACGCTGTGCGCACGCCCCGCTGCCTCTTATGGGAGCCGCAGTCACTCTGCATTTGGGCCTGGCCGTGTGGCCTCATTCTGAGTCCAGTCCTCTTTAGAGCCTCTCTCTCCAAATAGTCTCTGGGGACACACAGTTCAGGAACATTAGGAGAGGCTGGAAAAAATATATATATATCATATCCCCACATGGGAAGGAGGGCTACGCATGTAGAAACACAAACACACATCCATGTTTGTGCCATAAGAAGAATACAGATCAGGGAGATGTAGCCGGTGCAGACATGGCGGGGTGGGTGTGGCCAGGCTCCACGCTGGCTGCTCCAGATGGAGGGGTCGTGGCATCTGGACCCCTGAGGCATCACCTGCCTTTTTGGTCCTCTGCAGTAATGAGGGGCCTGCACTGCAGTGCCCTCTCCTTCCCTTCCCTTCCCCTCCCCTCCCTTCCTCCCTCCCTCCCTTCTTTTCTTTTCTTTCTTTTCTTTTGAGTCTCACTCTGTCTCCTGGGCTCAAGTAGTGCAATCTCAGTTTACTGCCTCCCGGGTTCAAGCGATTCTCCTGCCTCAGCCTCCAGAGTAGCTGGGATTATGGGCACGTGCCGCCACGCCCAGCTAATTTTTTATTTTTAGTGAGATGGGGTTTCACCTTGTTGGTGAGGCTGGTCTCGAACTCCTGATCTTGTGATCCACCTGCCTCGGCCTCCCAAAGGGCTGTGATTACAGGTGTGAGCCACCATGCCAGGCCAGGGCCTTTTCTCAGAAGCCAGCACCCTTCCTTTCTGCAGCTGATGAGGAAACCGCCCCCTTGCCCCACAAGCCGGGAGAATGACCGAAGGTCTCCATGCAGCACCCCAGTCTCTCCACATGTGGAGGCTCCCCAGGGGGAGATCTTCAGAGCCCAGATGCCTCCCCTGAAGTTCCTGTTGTAAGAGCCTCCTGCATGGGGCAGGCAAGCCAGTGTTTTCTGATTACAGAGCAGATGGAAACTGACTTTATTTTGGATGGGGCTAGACATTGAATGTAGCTAACATCAACTGAATAGAGACTGTGCCTCACGGCCAAAAAGCAGTCTCTCTCCTCCTCCCCGGGTGAGGCCCAGGACTGCCTGGTCTCCTGGGGACCCCATCTGCCAAAGCCTTCCTCTGTGACCCAATGGTGACTGAGTGTTGGGAACCTTTCTTCCAAAGGGACAGGCCCTTCCAAACGGCTTCATGTCCTCCGTAGGAGCCTGGTAGATGCTCATGAGAAAGAATAAGGACGAAGAAGCTTCTGGTGACATGAAGTCGTCACAGGCTGGACGGCCCGGGGCTGGGGGCCACTGCCTGCGTCCTCTCAGACCTGGGGCTGGGGCCTGAGGCACAAGCCTCTGCATGGCCAGAGGACACCATAGTTCCCTGACCATGCTGGGGCCACACGGCCAGCAGGTGACCGAGCTGGTCACAGCGGGAGAAGCAGCTCTGACAAATGCTCGGGTTAGCGCGGGAAGAGTAACTTTGGGACCACTTTTAGGAACTTGACACTACAGCCCCAAAGGGCGCCCTCTCGTGGTGGTGGCTTGTCTTGCATTTGTTTTCCAGGACCGTGTATCTTAGAGCTACGCTTTGTGCATAACTGGTTTGGAGGGTCTTGAATTAGAGGATTTAAGAAAACAGAAGTTTAAATTGAAAGCGGTTACTCCTCTATTCATCTAGGGCAGCCGATGAGGCTGAGGGGTTCCTAGGACCCCCTTGAACTTTGCCAGGCTTCCCTCAAGTCCACACAGGGGTTTAATAAAGTAGGGGCGAAGAAACGGGCACGTGACCGCCTGGCTCTGCAGCCTCTCGTCCATGCTGCTCATCCAGGGCTCAGGCGGCTGACAGCTGCGGCCAATGGGTCCCCCTCCAGATCCGCACTCCCTGCTCCCTTGAACTCGGGTGAGAGTAGAGCTCTATGGGGGCACAGGAAGGAGGATTGGTCGATGGTTATGCTTAGCAGGAAGCGTGTTAGTGCTTTCTACTCTTTTACAGTGTCAGCCAGAGGATAGGTTGGTTGTTTCTGAGATAGGGCCTCGCCCCGTCGCCCAGGCTGGAGTGCGGTGGTGCCATCACGGCTCGCTGCAGCCTTGGTCTCCTGGGCTTAAGTGAAGCTCCTGCGTCAGCCTCTCAAGTAGCTGGGACTACGGGCTCATTCCACCATGCCCAGCTAATTTTTTTTTTTTTTTTGTAGAGATGGGGTCTCACTATGTTGTCCAGGCTGGTCTAAAACTCCCAGCTTCGGGCAATAATCCTGCCTCAGTGTCCCAAAGTTCTGGGATTACAGATGTGAGCCATGGCACCCAGCAACCCAGAGGACTTCTTGATGAGTTTTCTTATGTGACATATCTTGTTCAGATAAATTTATGTTCCTCCACTTCTCTAAAGATGGCCAAAACCTCCTTCAAGGAACTCTTACAAATGACCTTTGCGAGACTAGGTAGCCTGTTATCTCAGGAAACAAAATCAAAGAAGAAATCTGAAAATTATGATTTCATCTAAATATCTGTTGACGGTGACTCTGCAGGCTGACTGTAGTGGGCGTTGTTCTAAGCAGGTGGCTTGGGACGTGTACCTGGCAGGTAAGGGGGCTTCCGGCTGCCAAGCGGCTCTCTCGCCTGCTGCACTTCAGGTCCGGTTTCCCAGGTCTTAATGCGTTTTAATTATGTTACTTTTTTTTCTTGTGATGAAACACACAAAATATAATATTTAACATTTTAACCACTTCACGTTTTTAAAATTGTGAAATGCACATACGATCTGCCATTTTAACTATTTTTAGTTAAAACAGTGACGTATACACTTCTTAAGTATACTTAAGAATATACTTGGCGGGTGGATCACGAGGTCAAGAGATCGAGACCATCCGGGTCAACATGGTGAAACCCCGTCTCTACTAAAAATACAAAAAATTAGCTGGGCACGGTGGCGCGTGCCTGTAATCCCAGCTACTCAGGAGGCTGAGGCAGGAGAATTGCCTGAACCCAGGAGGCGGAGGCTGCGGTGAGCCGAGATCGCGCCATTGCACTCCAGCCTGGGTAACAAGAGCGAAACTCCGTCTCAAAAAAAAAAGAATATACTTGCTCTTAACAATGTAATTGTTAAGTATACAATTGTATTATTAGCAATGTAATTGTTAAGTAACGACGTAATAGGTATACTATTGTATACTTAAAATAGTCTGTATTTTAAGTCTCTATGAACATATTTAAAATAGTTAGGTATACAATTCAGTGACCGTGTGAGGTCAGTGGTACTCAGCGCGTGGTACAGTCGTCACTACATGTATTTCCACAGCTTTTCTGTCACCCAAACAGCAGCTCTGTGTCTGAGGTAACTCCCCCTTCTGCCTCTCTCAGTCACTGGTGGCCCCTCATCACTTTCTGTCTGTGGATTTGCCCCTCCAGCTGCCTCGTGTTAAGAGGAACAGATGACAGATGTCCTTTGTGAATGGCTCATTCCACCTGGCACAGTGTCTTCGGTGTGACAGCATTTCCTTTGTGACTGGATGACGCTCTGTGTTGTTCACCCGTTCGTGGGTACCTGGACGGTTCCACCTCCTGGCAGCACCAAGCGCTGCTGCTGTGAGCACTGCCTTGCCATACCTGTTCAGTGCTTTCAGCTCTTCTGAGTGGGTACCTAGGCGTGGTCATTTTAACCGTTTTAAAGTGAAAAATTCAAGCGCATTCAGTGTTGTGTACCTGTCGCTGCACTAAGTCCAGAACACTGGAATCTTCTTAGAAGATGACCTCCTGCCGTTAGGCTGTGACTCCGCACTCCCCCTCCCAGCCCTTGGCAGCCAGGGTCCACGTTCTGTCTGTGTGTTAGTTGGTTCTGTACGTTTCATGTAAATGGAGTCGCATAATATGCGGCCTTTATGAATACTTTCTTTTACTTTGAGTGGTCCTCAGTGGTATGAATACTCTTTTTTTTTTTTTCTTTTATTTTGAGTCACAGTCTCACTCTGTCACCCAGGCTGGACTGCAGTGGTGCAACCTCGGCTCACTGCAACCTCCATCACCTGGGTTCAGGCCATTCTCCTGCCTCAGCCTCCTAAATAGCTGGGATTACAGGCACCTGCAACCACACCCGTCTCATTTTTTTATTTTTAGTAGAGACGGGGTTTCATCATGTTGGTCAGGCTGGTCTATAGCTCCTTGACCTCGTGATCTGCCCTCCTTGGCCTTCCGAAGTGCTGAAATGACAGCCACGAGCCCTGTGCCCAGATGAATATTCTTTTTAAAACACTTAGGCATTAGGAAAATTTCCAGCCTCTGCAAAAGTAGAAAGAATGGCCGTGTGAGCCCCGCATGCCCATCACCCAGATCCAGCCGTGACCGCAGTCCCGTGAGTTTTGTTCATCAGAGTCTCTTTTCTAGGGAAGAAAAGAAGTTCGTGAACCGGTTCTGGAAAGAAATCCACGTGGGAGACTTTGTGCATCTTCGCTGCAATGAAATCATCCCCGCCGACATTCTGCTGCTGTCCTCCAGTGACCCCGACGGGCTGTGCCACATCGAGACCGCCAACCTGGACGGGGAGACCAACCTGAAGCGGCGGCAGGTGGTCCGTGGCTTCTCGGAGCTCGTAAGTGACCCACATTTCTGGGCCCTCAAAGGCATCACGGCCACACGGTGTCCCCATGACGGCCTTCTGGGGCTCAGGGCACCTGCACTTTTCCTCTCTGTCAGGCCAGGCTGTTTTTCCTAGTAGATGAGTCTGAGGGTCTGAGAGGACCCCTGACCTACCTGATCCCATGCCCCACCTATGACTGTGGACACCAGGGCTCCGTTTTTCTGACTCTGACTTCCCCTGTGCACGTCTAAGTTTCTCAGAACGTGGTGTTTGTTCCTGTAAAGGTACAAGGAGCATTTATGACCAGGTGGTGGTCAGGAGGCACGTGGCCGCTTCCCTGCCTCACTAAACGGCAACACAGCAGGAGCCACGGCCTGTTCCCACCAGGCTGCTCAGGAACATTCTCTCCTCGGGTGTTGGGGTCCAGCACCAGGTCTTCGTAACCTAATCCTGCCTCCAGTGGCCTGTGTGGCAGGGGCAGCGGCGAGAGGCTGGAGGAAAGTGGGTCTGTCCCTGTCCCAAGGAGAAAGGGCTGCACCCGCCAGGTCTGTGCCAGGTGTGCGGGTGCTAATGCCAGGTGAAGTGACAGGGGCAGGAGCCCTCAGCCATCAGGAGCACCCTAGAAGGAAATGGGCCTGGCCCTGGCCGCCTCCTCCCAAAGCCCCTTCTCCCAGCCCTGCCCCGGCCCAGAGAGCAGGTCCGAGTTGGCCTGCCCTGGAGGGGCCTCCGGGTCACGGGGAGGGCACCGCTGGGATTTTCTTCTCTGTCAGACAGTGCCCTCCCCGCCGGCCTCTGCACCTGCCCATTGGGCTTTCCTGGGGCAGTGGGCTCTGCCGTCTGTAGGCCTCAGTGAGGGCACTGCGGGGAGTGGGGCTGAGCGATTCACCAGGCAGGCAGGATGGTGGCGGGCTCTGGCATCCCCGCCTCTGCACTGGATGCCCCGTCACCGTCACAGGGAGAGGTGCCTGACACACTGTCAGCAAGCCAGGTCCTCTGCGCCCGGGGCTGCCCCCGCCTGCCCGGCACACCTGCAGCAGGTGTCCCTGCCCACAAGCTTCTGCCTGTCCCGCCCGCGCTGATTTCCGCCACGATTTCCTCATTTACTTTTTTTAACCTTCTTTTATGCCAAGTGTATTTTTGTGAGCTGCCTCAGATCTTTTTGGACTAAGGCAAAGCAGACATAAAAATTAAAAATAGTCTTGTTTTTGTTATTCAGGGAGTGCCCTCATTTAGATCAGGAGAGCTGGTGAAAGAGTTAGGGACTCCTCGAGGTGCAGCCCGGCAGGTGCTCCAGAGTTTGGTGGTAAGTGTGGGTGACATCCACTGCCACCCCCGTGCCCCAGGTCCTCGTGCCCCCTGCTCTCTTCAGTAAGTCATGGTCCTGAGCTGGCCTCACTCCCAGCTTCTCCCCTAGGCCTGACCCTGTCTCCTCTGCAGGGATGTGAAGCAACGTATCAGCCAGAGACAGCAGCCCCCCAGTTCCCGAGGTCTCAGCTAGAGTTAGGGCAGGTGGAGGGCTGACAGCTCAAAGGGCACCTGTCACCTCCGAGGGGAGGAGCCATGCACACAGAGGGTGAGTGCCACTTAAAAAATGCAGATGAATATCTGACTGGTGACAGCTCAGACGATGCGGGAAACAGCAGAATCTGAGCACCGGAGGGCAGAACGTGCGCGCCTGGCGTGACAGGCAGGGGGACGCCACAGACTTAGCTCCTTGATCACCTCTCAAAATAACTTCATTTCCCACCTTCTGATCTTCACCTGCTGAATCCAGCCATCCCTGAGGTCCTCCCCGCCCGCTTCCCCGCTAACCGTACCGCAGCACTTCAGAGCTCGGTGGTGCCTTATGTAAGTGAGCTGCCTATAAGTTGGATAGTTGAATGCTGAGAACTCAGGGTGGCTGCAGATAGACATATCTGGTCCCCTTCTCAGGGCCCCGGGAGTGCCAAGGAAGTAGCTTTGAGCCATGATCTCGTCAAAATGGCTTGATTAACAGCCTAAACAAGTCTGAGGGTGTTTGTAAAAGTTGCTTAATCAGCACCAAAATTCTTTACCTGCATGCACATTCTGGTCCCTCTTACCTTGTTTCCCCCAGTTTTCTGATTTTTTTTTTCTTTCCCAAAATGTCCAAAGACATTTTTTTGGTACCTAAATTCCCATTCATGCATTATATTCTGAAATCTATGAACCACCCCACTGAAAATAAAGAAAGTCTCTGAACTTTTAAACCCCAGCGATTCAAAAGCCACACATGCCAAGAACATTGAAGTCCTCCGTATTTAAATGAGTTTTTATGATACCAAGTTAGCCTGTCTGGGGCAGGTTAAGAACTGACAGTAATCTGTACACCGACTTCTGTGAAATACAGTATTTTACCAGTTTAATGAATAGTCACTTGGAAACGGTGGCCCCTTTGCAAATCACTTAAGTTAGAAGCGATTGGCCACACTTGGGTGAAGGAGAAGCACTGGCCGTGGAGTTAATGTAGGGACTTGGTGCATCCAGCAGGGTCTGGTCAGGAGGCAGAAATCACACAAAGTCAGTCGGGGAAAGTCTGATGTGAAGAATTCTTAGTTGGGGACTGGGTTGTAAGAAGTAGTGATATGTGAGTTGCATCTCAATAAAGCTGTTAGCTTTTTAGTTGTTGAGGACTCTGAAGAGTATAGGAGCTGGGAACAGTGGCTCACGCCTTAATCCCAGCACTTTGGGAGGCTGAGGCAGGAGGACTGTCTGACGCCAGGAGTTCCAAACCAGTCTGGGCAATACAGGGAAACTCCATCTCAAAAAAAAAAAAGCCAGATATTGTGATGTGCAACTGTGGTCCCAGCTACTCAAGAGATTGAGTGGGGAGGATGGTTTGAACCGTGTGTGTGTGTGTGTGTGCGTGCGTGCGTGCGTGTGCGTGCGTGCGTGTGTGCGCGTGTGTGTACGTGTGTGTGCGTGTGTGTGTGTGTATTTATAGCTAAATAGATAGGAGTAGCTGATGATGGAAGGGACAGCCACTACCCTCGGCTCTGAGACAGATGAGTTCTCCCACTCAGGGAAGAGTGCCCCCCGCCCATCCCTGACCCATGGCAGGGGGCACAGCCTTGGATTGTGGGATGGCAGAAAAGGTACTTAGGGGCTGCCCTGGTGGAACCTGCTGGAAGTCTGCCTCGGGGGCCAAGGAGGTCATTGCCAGGGTCATGCCAAGCAGTGGAACTTGCTAGGTGCTGGGGGCAGTTTCTGGCCACTAGACACTGCTGGAGCCAGGCTGTCACTGCAGGGTGACAGCAAAGACTGGTGACAGCTGTCTGGACAGCAGCACCATGGAGCCCTACCTTTGAGAGGGTGCAGGGAGCAGCAGCCTGGGCCAGAGAGGTCCCATGTTGTCTTCAGGAACTTGTCTTGGGTTCCCTGCACTGAGAGGTGGGGAAAGTGTAGAGCAGGCCAAGCCCTGGAGAAATCTGGAGGGGCTGGGCAGTGCTGAATGGGTACACACATGCACGCACACACGCACACACATGCACACGTGTGCACACCCCCACCTGAAGAGCAGCCTCGGGACCAGTACCCAGAGGACCAGGCCTGTTCACCAGTGATGCCCAGTACGGAGCAGTGAGATAAGTCAAGGAGGCTTTTGTTAGGGGTTTGGGGCCACCTGGGAGGTCAAGGGAGGTTCCAGAAAGAGGAGCTCGAAACTTGCTCTGAATGCCGGGGTGCAAAGGTCTGGGGTGCCAGGCACGACAGGGAATGACATAGCTCAGAAGGTGTCCCAGAGGTGGAATAGGATGATATTGAATGCAGAGCGTTGGCAAAAGCACACAGTGTGGAGGGCCTGCCACAGAAATGGGAGGCGGTGGTACGGCCACCTAGACCCCAGAGTCTGAAGGCGAGGCCTGATGCCTCCCGGTCCTTAAACCACCCAGCCAGCTGCCGTCGGCAACAGAAACGGAGATCGTGAGACTCAAAGGTTTGATGTGAAAGTTGGAGGTGAACAGATGTTGTCCAAGAATTGAGAGAGGCCCCGTGTGGGGTGTCACACGCCCAGACAGTGACACGCATTTGCTCAGCCTCCTGCGGGCCAGGCCTGCTCTCTCACACAACCGTAGTCGAGCAAATGTTTTTAAACCCAGTTTCACCAAGTTTTCAGTATAAATCTCATGAGATCATGATGACCGCACCATTTTATAGATGACAGACGGGAAGAGTGAAGTCAGGAGATTCTCCCAAGATGCCCCCCCCACCCCACCCATCAGTGTGGGTTCGGAGCAGGTTCCCCCACTTTTTGTGGGGCGTCTGCTGTTTCCCACCTGCACGTTCCTGCAGCCCTGCCGCGCAGGTGCACACATTCAGATGTCCTGTGGGCAGCAATTTCTAGTTCATCCATAACACTTGTCATTTCTGCAGGACCAGGAGATCCCTAGAGTGATAATTTTATAGAAAACTCAATGTTAGGGCCGGGCGCGGTGGCTCACGCCTGTAATCCCAGCACTTTGGGAGGCCGAGGCAGGTGGATCACGAGGTCAAGAGATCGAGACCATCCTGGTCAACATGGTGAAACCCCGTCTCTACTAAAAATACAAAAAATTAGCTGGGCACGGTGGCGCGTGCCTGTAATCCCAGCTACTCAGGAGGCTGAGGCAGGAGAACTGCCTGAACCCAGGAGGCGGAGGTTGCGGTGAGCCGAGATCGCGCCATTGCACTCCAGCCTGGGTAACAAGAGCGAAACTCCATCTCAAAAAAAAGAAAAAGAAAACTCAATGTTTTCAAAGCCTGATTTTTGTAAGTTTTAATTCATTCAGTGAACATGTATTGAGCATCTCTTGTGCTTCTAACGCCATTCTAGAAGCACTTTCCTCCCGTGGTGCTTATGTGATCTACCTGAAAAGTTAGATACGTGGTCAGATGGCTCGTGCGAACTGTAGACAAGGAAGCAGGACAGGGACATGAAATGTCAGGTGAGTGCTGGACTTTCAGCCGGGGTGAGGAGACGGGCCTGGCTTGCTTGAGAACTGCTGGGGAGTCCAGAC